ATATATTAATTAATTAATTAATAGGTTTCTTTGGGCGTTTATTTATATGTTTTTTATGTGCTTTTTTTGGGTTTAGGGTTTAGGGTTTAGGGTTTATTAGGGTTTAGGGTTTATTAGGGTTTAGGGTTTAGGGTTTACCTGTTCCTCGCCATGCTTTGCTGCTGTCTCCGCTTTATTTAAGCCCTGCAGAGCGCCGTAGTGCCGCTCATTTAAACTAAAGAGACAAAAGGAGACAAAAAGGAGACAAAAAGAGACAAAAAGGAGACAAAAAGGAGACAAAAAATTATAAAAAAATATTAAAAAATATTTACAAACATTAAAAAATATTAAAAAACATTAAAAGGAGACAAAAGGAGACAAAAAGATAATAAAAAGAACACAAAAGGAGACAAAAGGAGACAAAAGGAGACAAAAAGGAGACAAAAATTTATTAAAAAATATTAAAAAATATCAACAAATATTAAAAGGAGACAAAAGGAGACAAAAGGAGACAAAAAGGAGACAAAAAGGAGACAAAAATGTATTAAAAAATATTAAAAGGAGACAAAAGGAGACAAAAGGAGACAAAAATATATTAAAATATATTAAAAGATATTAAAAGGAGACAAAAGGAGACAAAAAGAGACAAAAAGATAACAAAAGGAGACAAAAGGAGACAAAAGGAGACAAAAAGGAAACAAAAATATATATAAAGGAGACAAAAGGAGACAGAAAAAGAAAAAGAGAAATAAAAGGAGACAAAAAAAATATAAAAAGAGACAAAGAGAGACAGCTGCTGCTTTTGTTTTGTTTTTGTGAGGGTTTAGGGTTTACTAAACCCTAAACCCTCGAACCAAAAACCACCGAAAAAAAACTAAACCCTCACAAACCACCAAAACACACGCACACTCTCCGCACTGCTTCTGCTGCTGCTGTTCCTCCTGCTGCTGCTGCTGCTGCTGCTGCTGCTGCTGCTGCTGCTGCTGCTGCTGCTGCTGCTGCTTACCGCCAGGTGTTCTTGATGGGGAGGTAGCACTGATCGGAGTGGTTTAGGACCGTCCAGCAAGTCTCCACAGCCCTGCAACAAACCCCAAACCCTAAACCCTAAACCCTAAACCCTAAACCCTAAACCCTAAACCCTAAACCCTAGGGTAGAGAGGGCTACGGGGTGTATAGGCACCTCTTCAGCACGCTCGTGTAGGCGATGTCAAACTTAAAACCCTTCTCGCGGATCATCTCTCCAGCCTCTCTGCACACACACAAACCCTAAACCCTAAACCCTAAACCCTAAACCCTAAATATGAGGGTCTTGGTCTTGCACACACACCCCTAAACCCTAAACCCTAAACCCTAAACCCTAGAGAAAACGCCTAAAACACTACACCCTAAACCCCCGCCTTTGAGAGATAAACCCTATTCTATACAGCCACCCCCTGAACCCTAAACCCTAAACCCTAAACCCTAAAACCCTAAACCCTAAACCCTAAACCCTAGCTCACCGCGCCTCCTTCAAGCCGTGCTCAGACAGGGGGACATCCGTCCAGCCGGTGAAGCGGTTTTCCTTGTTCCACGTAGACTCGCCTGCACGCAAACCCTAAACCCTAAACCCTAAACCCTAAACCCTAAACCCTAGGGTTGGGATTCGGGTGGAGCGGGTGGGCCCGTGGCAGCAGTGCAAACGCTGCATATATAGATACAAACCCTAAACCCTAAACCCTAAACCCTAAACCCTAGAATAAATAGATTTATATACAGCAAAAGACAATACGATCTAAACCCTAAACCCTAAACCCTAAACCCTAAACCCTCGATCGGCAGTAGGCTGTCTCCACAGAGGGTAGAAGGAGGCGTGCAGCGTGCATCTGGCAGCATCCGTGTTTCTCAAACCCTAAACCCTAAATATAAACCCTTTATATAAACCCTAAACCCTAAACCCTAAACCCTAAACCCTAAACCCTAAACCCTAGATGCAGCACACACCATGGCGAACGAGAACAAGATAGCGCGGAGACATCTTCTAGGTGTATACAACTGAAATATAAAGGGTTTATAAATAAAATAAATTAAAAAAAAATTTGTGTAAACCCTAAACCCTAAACCCTAAACCCTAAACCCTAAATGCACCCCAAACACGCACGGGAAAGATACGCCCACCACAGACAGCCCCGATACCCAGCCCCCTAAACCCTAAACCCTAAACCCTAAACCCTAAACCCTAAACCTTAAACACTAGGTTATGAATAACACCCCTTGAAGCGCTGCACCCTAAACCCTAAACGCTAAACCCTAAACCCTAAACCCTAAACCCTAGATCTCACTACTGCGGTACTACAGCAACTACACCGAGAAACCTAACGTGTCTGTAAACCCTAAACCCTAAACCCTAAACCCTAAACCCTAGGTGTTCTCTTGTGCAAGCTGGCCTCTCCTGTAACCTCCAGCTGTAACGCGAGTCTTGTATCATTCGGGTTTAGGGTTTAGGGTTTAGGGTTTACGAGCGGGGTTAGAAGCAACAGAAAAAAAAAAAAAAAAAAAAAAAAAAAAAAAAAAAAAAAAAAAAAAAAAA